AACGCGCGGATGGAAAACCGTACAGACTTAAAACTTGGCGAGGTTATTTATATATCAATCATCTTTCATATCTCAGCTTCTTGACTTAATTCATTGAATAGTTACGATTTTTATTTTTGATGGCGTGACACTGAAAACCAGCCATAAATCTATTAGATTATTCGCTCTCGATTTCTATCCGTGATAGCTGACTCGGGCTGCGCCCTCGTCAACTGTCTTGAGCTCCAGATCCAATTGTTAAACGTCCCAGTAAAAGCCATACACTAGTGTAAAGTACTTACTAGGTACACTGTCATTGCTGGCAAAATTAGGTGGCTCGAAACACTTCTTGCTGCTTGCTGTCTCATTTGGTAAAGAAAGGCACTGAGCAAGAACAAAATTCATTAGGACCTCGCGATAGTCGGCTTGACCTGGGTGGTTCAAGCAACGCTTCAGCAGCTCACCACAAACTCGTCTGCAAGGTAACACGCGCTTTCCTTCTGAGTTGCACTTGGGGAAATAGAACGAACACTCCAACGCTGCTCCAAGCTCCACGGAGGAACAGTTTTCCCAGGCCCTTATAAAATAGGGTAAATATCTCGAAAGATCAGACAACAGTGAATCCGTGACTTCCTCTCGAAGTGGTAAGGTGTTGTTGTACCCGGCTTTTGTACAGGTATCGAAAGGTCCACCGAGAAGGCTGATGCATTTACCATCACTGGATTCACAGAAGATTGTTACAACACTACATAACGGCAAGCAACTTGAGAAAGTTGTAGCAATAAGGCTCATAATGCGTGCGAGGGGAGTTTCTGCTTAGAAACCCGACAATTCATGTCACGAAAACGAAAGGTGATATTGTACTTATTTCTCCGATTCCAACCTCTCACTAACCGTGCGACCCAGTGCTGTCCCCTGTGTTGTCACGCTATTTTCATGTAGTTGCTATTTCCGGAGGAGACATGAAAAGGTCAGGGATGCTTGTCGGAAAATTTGAATTAGATTTGAGACCAATCTAGGCTTGGCTCGAGCTTTAGTCGACCCCTAAAACGGATAGTACTTAAAACGGAATCGGTTCGATCACCAGCCGTGCTGTTCAGGAAAGGAGTCGACCCAGAGATCTAGAGACTCGCGGAAATCGAGCCTAAAAATGTTTTATTATTATTTCTGCGAGTGCACCCTAAAAGATATTTTGACAGCTAAAATTAGTGACGTTTCGTCATGAACATCCAAAGTGAGACCACCCCGTTATGCGAGACGACGAGCATCCCCCGCCTTTCCAAGTGGGAGTCCCCCCGGGTCGGTATTCCTCTACTGATCCTGTGTCGAATAAACAATTAGATTATGAGCTCGAGATTTCTATCGCGTTGCGCCCTCGTCAACTATTACGCATAGAAATCGAGAGCGAATAATCTAATTGTTTTAGTATAAATCTACTAGTCGTTCAAAATTATATTTAAATGCTCTCCACGGACACTTCGAAAACGCCAAGAAGCGGCCGTCATTTTGTTAACAAGGGCACACTACTACGCTACTCACTATCTACTAAACAATTAGATTATGAGCTCGAGATTTCTATCGCTTGATAGTTGACGACGGCGCAGCCCGAGTCAACTATCGCGCATAGAAATCGAGAGCAAATAATCTAATTGTTTTAGAATAAATCTACTAGTCGTTCAAAACTGTATCTAAATATTCTTCACAGACACTTCGAAAACGCCAAGAAGCGGTCGTCATTTTGCTAACAAGGGCACGCTGCTACGCTACTCACTATCTATCACAGAATAGATAGTGAGTAGTGTAGCCAATCAGAGAACAACATTTGTGATAGAACGCTAGTAGATTTATACTAAAACAGAATAGATAGTGGTAGCGCAGCCAATGAGAGAGCCGCATTCATGATAGAACGCTAGTAGATTTATACTAATCTAAAATGGAAGCATGGCTAGAAATTATAGGGGACGTATGTACCGAATGATGTGTTTCCTGCGCAATCATCGCCCTTTCTAAAATATAAATAGTTTCGCTTTTTCATGCGATATTCTAAACTAAATAGAAGATGGTATTCTTCTGGTTAAAAGTTGAAGTAAAATAACACTGTAAAATACCAATGACTCTAAGAGTACAACACGTTCTGTGGGTCCTGACTTCAATGTTGCCGGAAATCCAGCGAAGATACAACAACAACAAGAACAATTTATTAAGGCATTTCTACAAAATACATGGCATTACCTATTTAAACTAAAGCAAATATAATAACAACCAAATTAAAAAAAAAA